TCGCGCTTCTCACAGACGAACGTTCTCTTTGTTTTGTGAATGCAAGCTCGAACAGAGTCCTGAAAGACGTGTTTCATAAAAGACCAAAAATGACTAAAAGATTCCCATATTTGCCTAAAGTTATTAAAGTTCTGTATATGCCATATTGTTCGCGTACAGATTATTTCCGCGAATTCAGACCTTGACGCCGACAATTTCGCGAGTGGTTAATTTCGCGGTCGGTGAATTATGAATTATTCGCGTGTTGTTATTTTCCGCGGGTCTGGACGCCGTTCCGCAAAATTCCGCGAAGATTAAACCACCGCGCGAAATATACAGCTTATACAGTATTCGTCTAAAAGTCTTTCAACATTCGCCGCCGAATATTTACGCGCCACGCCCAAAAAAATTTACATGACACGTCGAGACAAGTTCGATTGTTCTTCACTGCGAACACGTACCTGGTCGATCGACGATTAGCCGGCATTTTGCGATCTTTCGCTGTCTGCGGAACGACCACTGCAGACTTTGTAGCCTTTTCAGTGCCATCTCCAGACCCACCGTGCTTCACATCAAGTTCATGAGTCATCACAAGCGCTCCTGGAAAGATGAACATTGAGCAATGTCGTACTTAATAATAAAATTCTTTATAATATTCAACGATAAGACCGGTTCGTCACTGTCAGTTGTTGGCACAGTCCTGGAAAAGTAGGTCGGGCAAACGCCTATGCTTGAAATGCTAAATTATGTAATTACTTCTTCTTTTTCCTTCACGGTTATTCGTCCCACTAAAGTGGGGTCGATGCCAGTGGACTCTTCTCCTCCATTTCCCCTATCCTCCACTTCGGTGTGTCGCCAATCCCTTCTCCTTCAAGTCATTCTGCATGCAGTCCGTTCCACTTGTCCTTGGTCTCCCCCTCCATATTAGGTAATTACTTATCAATATATATTCTCAATTATTATCTACGATGACCCGTTCTTCGCTGACAGTTGCGTGCCTCACGCGTTCCAGCTGACGGTCGCCTTCTAACGCATCGTTGAAGGTGACCTTCAGAGGCAGGCTGCCATTTGTTCTCTCAGTGACGAGTGTGAGCAGATCGTCCGCTGCGGATGACGACCACGGTTCAGTAACCTTGACTGCAGCCTGCCTGCAACTCACCGTAGTCACGCAGCTTAACCATCTCTGGAGTCCCGGGTGCACGCCGAGGAGTTCTGGCGAAAAAACACACACACACACATCTGCTATGGACGGAGAACGATAATTCGAATTGGAATGATGTGCAGTGGATTTAATCCTTATGGGGATAGAGGGATTTTTCCCATGATGAACATATACCAGCTGTAACGCGGTATAGCTAATATGTGCACAACACATCAGGGTGGACATTGAGAAAAGGCTGTGAGCGCGTCTGCGCTAAATATCTGTAATAATTAAAGCCGTGATTTAGATGTATCAAAAAGTGAAGAATATCAACGTAACATAACGAAGAATGAAACAACTATTTTTCCTCTCACTGGTTTCTTTTTCGGCTGAAGTTTTTGCGTGACTTCCATTACTTCTTCTGGGCATTTTCAGTGTGGGCAATCGCCTCCTTTGATATTTTGAAGCCTTTACCTAATGAAACAGAATGATAAGGTGATGTAAAGACTTAACTGTTATTGTAAAGAAATAAGTAAGATTTCACAGCATTTGCCTAAAACAAAAAAATGCCACAGAGTTCGTCATTTATGATGCCGAGACCTCCCATGACTAATACTATGCAGCCTATATAAAATATACCCATGACGAAGGAGCTTAACCACTAAAAACTCAAGAGTGCGACTTTTCAACATCGATTCGAGCAGGCATCTTGCTGTTTGGCACACATGGAAGACTTTGCCAATCATGTCTGGCTACAGCTGCTACGAGCTTTTTCCCTCCACTCAGTCTGGTTAGTCTGCTGTGTCGTGCGGGGAAAGACACTGTAGCGCCTAACGGGAACCTCTCTAAACTTTGTTTCTCATGATAGCTTTGCTACATCCAAGCGAACCAACAGCATTATGCCCACCTCTTCCACTTAATTCCAGGCGCCATAATCCACGGCGGATGGTAAAGAACACGCTCGAAAACCAATTTTTTTTATTATTATGCTACAAGAATAGGTTAATGACTAACGAAGCAGCCTGTAAATAAATATACAGCACACAAATGTATATAATATATATCGTTATACATATCCTCTACTCACTGAAATGAGTTACAACGATTGCTTGCATCACATTTGTATGCTTTTTGGCAAACAACCTGCCATCGTGACACTCTTACATCATTACCAGGTTCACCGCGTGCAGGATAGGGGACTGCGCGTACTCAGGCCAACCAATCGGACCAGGGCGCCACCCCAACACTAAACCCGATAGCGAATTTGGTAGGCCTGCCAATAGTTAGCGCGGCCTAACTGCGTGTGCCAAATGCCATGCATACCGAGATGGCGTGGGATGCGTCAACTGTACTGGCCTTTTGCCCCAAGTAGTAGCGTCTGAATCTCTTCTATTTGGCGTGCCAGCATTGGTTAGGCCATAAACGTGGTGCTGTGCCGCGGAGAACTGGCACAAGGATCGCAAATATTTCAAGATGACGCGCCATGCATGCGACGATCGCTTCTTTTTGCGCCCTTGAGCGTTAGCCTACCCTATTGAGCGAGGTATCGATTCTTTTTGGCCCTTGAAGGTAGATACCCTATGAGGAATTTAAAAGGGGTCTCATCTCATTTCTGATCTATTCAAAGGATTGCAAGGAAACTATTTCCACCGCCAGGTGGCAGTAAAGACAGGAAACGCAGCAACTTCTGATATTACTTTTTGGAATGGTTGCAAACCAGCGCCTCAAACAACACACAATGTGTTACCAGGGGAATGAATAGGCATCGACTCATAAATAATTACCTACTAGCAATCCTCTATTTATAGTTTGCTTTCTGTGTGATAAGGACATGGGGGGGTTATCAGAAAGATCACGAGTTTATGACAAAAGTTATGGCTATGTCACAACCTACGATGATGACAAGTACCACAGAAACACATTATAACTTTTATTGGTGACTATAAAGATACCAACTCAGTTCAGTGTCCAAAAACCAAATATAGAATAAAATAAAGCAGTCTGTTAATGTATCACTTTTAATAATGCAAAGTAATGGAAATGTATGAGATATGGGGTAATATCCTAACAAAAAATGCTATGGTTTTTCCATAATCGTCGTGCAAAGAACTTGTAAAATGTAACTTTGCAGAAATTTTTTTTGGAACCCTCTACATATTCCTTAGCTACATTATATCATGAATATATGTGCGTACTATATATACATGTATGCATATTACATAAACATACATAATAGATTCACGATAACGATTACCAGTTAGTGGAGTCCACAGAGACAATATTTTGCAGAGAACCTCCTACTGCCCCCTTCATTACAACTCTACTACTCTAACTGTCTAATACCTTCACCATTAAACTTATTAAATGTAATTAGTTACTTGATATTTACATACTTGACCCTCAAGCACTATACTATAAATCCCAATTCAAAGAGTGGGGTAATTGCTACTGGGATTTGAAAACTCCAGAGGGATATAAAAAGCTCACTGTGACTGGCGATTTGCCCATTCCATGAGGCTCCAACATGACTGCGTGTGTGGGTGTATCATACATGACACAGCAAGTGAAACAGCAATCATGAAGCAGTCACTCACTTACTCATTCAGTGACTCAGCAAACTGGAGTGACGATTTGTACTAACACTACTGTGACTAGCAGCAGTACCAGTATGGCAGTAAGTACACATAAATATTTATTTTTATTTTTATGTTTTTGTTTTTTATTTGTGTGTGTCCGTGTGCAGCAGCTAGCGTGCGGCAGCCAGCGTGTGTTTACTTTTCAGCGTTATCTCAAGTAAACAAGGTTAGGGTTAGGGTTAGGAACTGCCGGGCATTTAGGAAATCGAAGATCTTGCCCGGCTGCCGGGCATATAGTATATATACTAGCCACCACAGGCACTTGAAGCGTTTCAATAAAATATATACGCAGGGGTCGTGTGCTGTGCACGGCGGCAGATATATTTTATTGAA